GCAAGGTTCAGCAGTGAGTGCACGGAGCCTACACCATCTCGGCTGCACAACTGTCAGTCACTGCAACTGAGCAAAGCCCACTGGCAGCGCCTGTAATGTGAGCAGAGCCCTTCAGAGGGGTGACCGAGCCAATGCAGCTGCGTCTTGAAGAGGATGGCAAGGCGGCAGAGGCTGCGGCATCAGCTTGCTTACTTTATTCGCTTAAATGCTGCAAAGGCCATGCCCTCCAAAACCCATGCTGCAGAAGAAAACACATTGCGGCCGCCCGGGGGGGAGAATTGAATGTCGTCGGCGCCGCTAGCGCAGCGGCTATAGGCAACAGGAGCGAGTGGAACGATTGGAACAGACTGATTCATTGGCGCAATTGAAGTCGTCCGCACCACTCGAGCCAGTTGCGCCATTGGCTATTCGCTCTTTAGACGCAAGGAATGAGTGAAACAGGTAACGTACATGGCGAGTGGAGCATGTGGCACGACGAGAGGAACGGTCGGAGCGAGTGGAACTGGTGGGGCTAGTGGAGCGAGTGGCACGAGTGGAACGATCGGAGCTGCGAGCAGAGCGAGTGGAACAGACGAATTAGCGCCCCCACCCCCACGCCGACACTCTCAGAAAACACGCAAAAGGCGAGAGAGGCTCACGAGTCAAGGCCTGTGAAGCTGTTTGTCGCATGACTGGCTCCACATGGTCGTTGTGTTGTTCCAAAGAACATCAAAGAACGTTGATCTTAGGCGCAGGCCTGTCACGAGCAGAAGTCCTAAGTCTGAGACTGGGTCGTGCGAGAGGGTTTAGGTTGTGTCAGTGGCCAACCTGACAAACATCCAAGACATAGTGAGGTATCTAGGTACGGGCAATATGCAAAATGAGAAAGCCCCCCTGCATGAAGCATGAAGGTCCTTGCATCACGCCGCCTGCCGCTGCTGCCTGCTTGATCAGGGAACAGATTCCACCGTGCCGGGGTTCCGTTGCAGGTCGGGGAGAGGTGCAGCGGAGTGGGCCAATCTTGCTTCGGGGCTTGAGGAACCGATGGGCTTCGCACACAGCTACGAGAAGCAAGCGTAAAGTGTCCCACGTCGTGATCTCACCCGAGCTGTGAGAAGTATTCTCAGATGCTACAAACGCGGTCCTGACATAGATCGCAGAATCTACGATGGCATCAGTTCCGGAGTCCAAGGTACCAACTCCCGCCCCAAGCGATTATTGAAGCAAAGGAGTTGGAGGCAAGATCCGCCAGGGAATGTCACTGAATTTTCGAGCTGCACAGCCTTGTTCCCTTCCAGCCACAGGATCTGGGTCGAGCTCGGCTGTCCCACCTAGCAGCTGTGCAACGGAGTGCTATTCGTGCTGGCAGCGGTGTCGCCTGGCTGTCGTTTCTCGGATCTTGCCCCGAGGCCTCAAACCGCAATACCGAAGAAGCAAGAAAGCAGGAAACAACATCCGGACTCGGGAACCGTGAGCCCGCGCATGACTGCAGGCGCCGCGGCACTGCAACTGCAGGCAACTGTAACTGCATCAACTGCGGCAGCAACAACAAAAGCCACAGCACAACAGCAGCAAAATCAATGCCTTTGCCATCAGCTGCCTAGGATTGTGTTATTCTAACAGAGCCAAGACTACAGCAGGACCACTCAAACCGAAGGGTTTAGGGGCTTAGGGCCTAAGGGTTTTCTACTCTACAGCCGGAACGGCTGCGTAGGAAACGGTTGTTGTTTACTTGTCTGACGGTCTGGCTCAATACTGATTACTGTCAATCCGACTCATTCGCGGATGCTCCGAAACCCATCCTAATATAAAACGAAATCTCGGAAATTAGTTTTTATATTATTAGTAGGGGGAGGGGGGAGCGTTTTAATATTAGGGGGAAGGGATATCTCGAGCCAGGAACAAGTTGAGTCACGTTTCGATCGGAACTTTCGTCGGCATTCAGCATTCCTCCGTATTGCTGGTGCTAGTGGCGATGCTGCCTATTTCGGCCCGTGGGTCCTTGATCCCCTCTGCCTGGCCGTAGTTTTCAGGTTTTAAGGATGGCATGGCTTGGCGATGTTTGTTTTGCAGCCAACCGAAAGTCTCAGGACTCGGCACCCGACGTGGCGGATTGGCAGCCCAGCAGCAGTTCGCAACTGGGCGCGAGTGGTTGGGCGCGTTTGTGTACTGCATATGAAGGCATGAAGTTGGTCATGTTGGGGCACCTCAGAGTTCCTGCGAAGGAGCGTCGAGTCCTGCGAGCTTGATTCCGTGTCCCACTTCGTTGTGCGCTTGCTTTGCTGCGGAGACGCGGCTGCGCGCTCTTGGTTTCTAGCCGCGGAGGACACGGCCGAGACTTCCAAATAGCGAGCTCCCTTGAACCCACGAGGGCTACAAAAAAAGAAGGTAAAAGCCCTGCTACTATAGTTTTAAACCCTAAGCCGCCCAAAGCCCTTCTTCGTTGACTGATGACTCCCTCATTGTCAACCCCCCGGATTTAGCGGCAGGATTGCAATAGCAATAACATGACACGCACCGT